ACCACGGTTCCAAAGGACAGCATTTATGAAATGCATGAACAATCCCCCCAATTTTAACCAGAAAAGTATCCAGGCTGTTGATGCAGTCGCTACTTTCACTTATTTACCAGACATATTACCCTAGGGAAGCATCCTTCCAATGTACTTCTTGCTGCTCGACAGTTTGTATTAGCGTTTCTGCTGATCTTGATAAGAGTATTAATAGTGATAATGCCTGCCCATTATCTCACTGTGCCCACTGGAAGGACTTCATACAATCGCCTTGCCACCGACTCAAAGAACACAACAGAACATATTAACGGAAAGAATGCAAGAACAGCGGTAGATGATCATTTTAACAAGTTCATCAACAGAAATCAACGCTGGTTTGGACAACGCTCATAATACTAGGCAAGAGCGACCGGCGATTCTCAGAAAAGAGATGCACTACACCTTATTAGGCAAATTAGGCAAACGTCGAAAAACGAAAGCGTCTGGCATGCGAAAATAGAAAAATTTACTAAATGGCTTAACTCAAAGTAAACCTAGAACAGGTGAGTTTAATGTGCTCACTTCTGAAGGGCTTGCAAGAAAGGAATGACTGGTCGAGGAGTAAGGAGTATCTGTCAAAACTCCTCAAGAAGCATGCTAATTCATTTCGCAGTGCCTCTAGCCGTCTCAAAGGAAGATCAAAACTGAGCACCAAAACGAACCAAACATTTTACGATGTATGACTGAAGATATAAAGAACCCAAAAATATCGTGGCTCTCAAATGCGAGAAAAAGGCTCGTGCACCAAAGATGCAATGTGGACGGATCACCAGTAAAGAAAAAAAGGGAAAACAAAAACAGGGTAGGCCAATTTTGCAAAGAAAAAGGTTCGATAAGTGACTGAAGATCAGCCACGGGTCAAAAAATGCACTGCGGAAAACTTTTAATCGAAAGAGAATGAGAAAGAAAAGTGATTTCATGGTTAGGGGAAGCAGTGGCGCAGATGGTTAGCAGGCTGCTTTGCAAGCCATATTTCCTATCTATGGCTGAAGAATTTTGAATCTTGGTGCGTTACAAATAATCCACGCAAAAAATAATCTTGCCCGTTAAATCTCAAAGGTGTAAGTAATTGTACAGAAGTTTTACAGAGGTTATTTCAATTCTTCATGCGGGTGGAAATTTCTTAATCTACAAACTCTTCATCAAATGGATTTCTACCCATATAAGTTTTATTAAACAAATACGGATGCGTCAGATCGAGCTGAGTCCATGTTCAAGGGATATCATGTAATAACACAAATTTGTTGGAAAAGTCGCTGTGGATATCATGTTAACCAGTTAAAAATGCCTTTATTTCCCATAGCGTAATATGCCACACAAGAGGACGAGGTTTCGACTGGACTTGCCAGCTTTTATAAGCAAAAACGGCTCGACTCATGAACGAAATTTATTTCTGGAATACCGTATCGCTCGCTGTCGCCGGTAAATTCTAATCAATCAATGCCTTTATGAGAGGATTTCGTCTGCCGCTGACTCGCTGTCTGGTCAGTTGCTGCTACCATACTACGAATCTTTTATTTCTTTTACCCTTCAAAGCACCTAAAAAAATCTTGAACATTTCCACCCCACAGACCCTGTTCAAGTTACTGTCTAATGACTGAATCAAAACATCTTGTAGTACTAGTTGTTCAAATAAATCCACTGACAGGGTGATATGTCTTTGCTCCGGCGACGTCGATGCAGTGACTGGTAGTGATATTATGATTTACAGGCGCAGATATTACCATTAGTTTCCTTAGGGCTTCTTGGCGTGTCACTAGTAGGACGCTCATGTTCTGAAACACTAACTAGTAAGGATCGCGAAATCTGGCCAACATATTGTACCACGGCTTGAACAACTGATTTGATAAATAACCTCCGATGCTTTCTCAGGCGGGATACGATCTTCCACTATTGCAGTGATCGAAGCTGCCTTTAGACCTGAAAATTACGCAGTTATTCTAACAGATCTCTGGTGTATGGAATATACATGGTGGATGACTGCATTTCTCCTTGATTTCTTCGCGTTCTAGGCCTCAAATTCGCCATCCTATTCAAAAAGTTACTCTGAGCAACCACTATATGCCAATACCTCATAAAGATGGTTTATTTCTGTCCAAACTGCGGAATTAGAACATATATAACAACATCTGCGAAAAACAATGTCACTAATGTCTTCTGCAAATATTTTTAGATAACGTACTATAAAGATGGATGCAGCTCGATGCAATCATAAGGATTCTGCTTAATAAAATCTATACTCTGAATAAACTTACTGATAACTTAGGCAAGAAAGTAACTGTATATGATATAAAGTCACTGAAGACAGAGTAATTCATTCGTGCATTATTGGTCATACTGAAAAAATAGCGTAAAACACGGTTTAATTATACACAACGCAAAAGATACTGTGGTCGGTCAGGGGACTAACCAATACCGACGTTTCGGTCCGTGTCTCAAGGGCCTTCTTCAAGGCAATTTGGTGGTGAAGTTTTGTTAATGCGGTTGGTGGTTCGAATAGTCGATAGTTTTAGAGTCAGAAGGCAAGCTTTCTGTCCGTGCTCATGGTTAAATAGTTTTACGCGACAGGGATAACGAGGCTCATCCAACCTGCGCAGAGTTCATACCATGTCGCGTTAAAACTTCACAGGATTGGATGATTAATACCTTTTACCCGTATTTACAGTCAATGTCTCTCTTTGATGACACCGCTACACACAGACTGGGAAAGATGTTGTAGATGGTCAACTCGAGACACGAACCGAGACCTCTTTCCAAGGGTGATGAAAAACGTTACTAAAACTTCTCAATAGCTCATTCCCTCAAAATATAGAGATAATTATTTTGAAAGAGAAAACAACTCCAGTCTACCATTCCTTGATGCCTAAATAATAAACTCCTGTAACTGATATAAAACAAAAATTTATCTTAAACCTATTAGTACCGACAAACGTCCAAGTTTAAACCTCATGATCATTTAAACTATAAATCTTCTGTGTTGACAGCTTTAATAGACAGAACCCTGAAGCGCTATAGTAATGAATTTCCTAAAGACGAA